AAAGCAGTAAGGTGCTCTGATTGTTTATAAAAGGAATCTGATGGATGCTAGGGGTGAGAGCAAGTTTCTCTCAGGAAATGGCATTTCAGCTACCCCCCTAATGAAGGTGGGAAGTGGGGTCGGTGCCTATCACAGCCCTGGGATAGAAAGGAGTTTGAGGAACCTGCCAGAGGTAACATGTGAGAGGAGGAGGAAGTCGGCTAGAGAGACAGGAAAAGCCTGATTTCGCAGGGCATTGTGGTCCACGTGGAGGACTCCGGGGGTCCTTCTCCCAAGAACAAAGGGAATGTAGAGGGAGTGAGTAAGAGGCAATGGAGCAGCTACAGAGTGCAGTGGAGCCAGGTGGTTAAGAGCGTGGACTCTGGGCTGGGTGTGGTGGCTCATGCCTGTAATCCCAGCACTTTGGGAGCACACAGGTGGATCACTTGAGCCTGGGAGTTCGAGACCAGCCTGAGCAACAATGCAAGACTCTGTCTCTAAAAAAAATACAAAAATTAGCCAGAGCCGTGGTGTGCCTGTAGTCCCAGCCTCTTGAGAGGCTGTGGCAGGAGAATCCCTTGAAGCCCAGAAGGTGGAAGTTGCAGGAGCCGACATCACCCCATTGCACTCCAGCCTGGGCGATGAGAGTGAGACCCTGTCTCAAAAAAAAAAAAGCATGGACTCAATGGACTCAACCCAGTTTCAACAGGTTCAACCAGAGCCTGGGGTTTAAATTCCAGGTCTGCCACTTCCTGGTGACCAAGATCAGGTTTTAGCTAATGTCGCTGTGCCATCTCCTCCTCCATAAGATGGGGTGATAATAGTGCCTATTTCCAAGGATTGGCATGAGGATTTGGAGACAAAAGTGCCTGGCACGTGGAGTAAGGAAGAACTGCCACTGAAAGTGGGCTCAACAGTAGCAACCTGCACTGTGGGCTCTCCCTGCCTCCAGGCTGCCATCACTGTGCTAAAAGAGTTGACACCCAGGAAAGTTGAGGCTTCTCTAGTGGATGCCATTTGTAAGATGAGTTTCTTGGTCTTGGGCAGCCCTTCTGGCAGCATCTCCTTGACTGTGGCTGTCCTGTGAGCTGTATACAGACAAGGCCATGCTCAACCTATACCCCAGGGCCTAACATGGGGCAGGCACATGGGAGGTGCTTAATGCCTATAAGTGAAGTGGGTTGCAAATGAATGAATGAATGGATGGATCTGTGAGAGAATACTTACACTATTCATAAATTATTGAGCATTTACTATGTTCCAGGCTCCTTACTGAGGGCTTAACCTGGTTGATTTCATTCTCACAATGATCTTGTGAGGAGGCTACTATTCGACTCTGTCCAGTAGAGGAGATCTTGGGAATACGTTTTCTGGTTGGGGGCAAGGGGAGTCCTGGTTGTATTTCAGGGAGCTTAATGATAGAGAAATGTGTTTAATATGTAGCCCCAAAGGGGGGCTTTTTGCTACAGGTTGGGATCCTGGAGGCAGGAATTAAACTAGAAAGCAGACTATGCTAAAAGTAGTTTCTCTAAAGATCTAGCTGCGTGTACTTTACAGCAATGATCTCATATTCCTTAGCAAGGCACCACAGTGACAGCAATTATTTTACTTGTTTGTGAAAAGGAAAAGTGGTGTGTTCTAGGGAGACGCAGTGGCCTCCCCAGCATCCAGAGAGAGCTCAGAGCAGAAGCCAGGAGTCCTGAGTTGCTGGCATGTCTCTCCCACCCCCGCCTCTGAGAAGCAGAGAGCAGAGAGCAGAGCTATTGGAAAGGCTGTGGCAAGCCGCCTTTGTTCTTCTCCTTGCCCACTCAGGCTCTAACCAGAGTCCCACATGCACCTGGTGGCAGGACTGTTCCCTAAGGGAATGCAGGCAACAGTCCCTGGCTCCCCTTCTTCCCGGTGCAGTGCTGGGGCAGACCAGCCCTTTCTGAGCCCCAAGCAGCTCCCCAGACCTCCTTCTCCAGAGACGATTATTTTGGGAGAGTGCTGAGTTCAGCACAGCTGCAAGGTGCAGCCAGACGCACCCTTCTGTCCTCAGCTGGCCCTTCGGAGCTGGCCTTGGGCTAGGGTGCGCCTGCCCAAGCCCAAGTCCCTGCAGCAGTCCCTCCTACACAGGGTTACTGTGTCCAAGCACCTCCACCTTGGGGAAGCTCACAGGCTGTGGAGACAGGTGGAAGAATGGGGGCTAGGAGAGGCAGAGCCGGTCTGAGGGGCACAGCCCAACTCCTAGCCCTGAGCCTGGGGTCACCAGCTTCCCAGGGCTTGCCTTACAGCCAAGGGGCAGGCTGGCCTTCGGCCAGCTGACCATCCCCAGGCCAAGAGCAGGGAGTGGACGAGGAGCTGAACTGAGAAGCTTATATAAGCACTTCTACTTTGCAGCCTGCTGTCTGCCCTGGCAGCCAGGACAAGAGTGACAACAAAGCTGTGTCCTGCCAGGGGGAGGGGCCTCTGCCAGGAATGTACATTGAGTATCGTTGAAAAAACACCTTCACCAGGAAGGGTCTAATCACACACCTTTCCATTAAAACGGCCTCTTGGGTCGGGGTTTCTGCTTAGAGAGGGGGCATTCAGGCTATACGGGAGGGATTGGTCTCCTCTCTCTTGGGTCTCTCGTCTGAGGGTCTCAGCCTCCTGCCCCGCCAAGACCCCCAGGTTTGGAGGGCCCAAGCAGAGCCAACCATATACACAGCCCTCCTGGTCCTGGGAGAGGTGCACTTCTGGAAGGCAGGAAGGAGTCTGTTTCTAAGTCCCTTTCTCAGCGCCATCCTCCATCAAGGTGGTCTCCAGACCTGACGTGTGTTCTGTCTTCCCCATAAAATCAGGCTCAGGAGATGGTGCTCCTTGGTTTTGGAAATACCCCTCCCTGCGATCCACCTGCCTGGCAGCCTCTGTGCCTCCCGCCTCCAAGCCTGCCCTGACTTACTGGCACACGAGGGCGTCCTCGTCCAAGAGGGCTTCTTGGGCACATGGATTGTTCTCGTCCTCGTCTCCAGTGATCACCATCACAAGACCAGTAACAGGGCTGCTGTGACCAGCCTCATTGCTCCAACCCATGGGCACCTGGAACAGAAGGAACTTTGAGCAGCTGGATCCCCTCACGGCATTTCCTGCCAACTACCTGTGCCCCCCACCCCAGGGGCCCACTTGGCAGGAGAGAGACCCTCTGTTAAGCACAGGGAGAAAGGCAGGCAGCTTTCAGGGCTCCGCGGCTAATCCAGTCCAGCACCCGGACACAAGTACTTTGGGAGGACCTGGGCCTCTCTCCCAGTCTGGAC